GTTGACCTGTTCATATGGAGGCAACAATTGAGTCAAAATACTAAAAATACTATTCCAAAACCGAATTCTGTTCTTGATTCACACTCTCATCGCACCAATCTTCGACCTAACATTAAAATACTTTTACAATTATTCGCCACGTTACCAGTTACCTCTTTCACTCCGGAAAGAACGTTTTCAGCACTTAATCGCTTAAAATTTTTTTTAAGAAGCACCATATCGGAAAACAGACTGAATGGGTTAGCTATGGCTAATATAAATAAAAAAGAACAATTCAATGAAAGTGAAATAATAACTGAATTTGCCAGAAATTCGCCTAAGAGGATGCAGCTGTCAGAGTGAAGCAAGTGACTGAACACTGAAACCAAAATTATTATTATTATTATAAATTATATATTAATAAATATTTTTAAAACTACACTAAAATGCTTGAATTACGTTTAGAAACTTGGTAGTAGATGGTGGGGGGGGGTAAAGGGTAAATTCTCATATCCTCTCTTACCTTACTTATCCAAAAAAGTGGTTAGCCTCCCCATTTAAAAATCCTGGCTACGCCACTGCATTCTTAGATTGGGAAGATATAATAGTAGGCTGGTGAAAGATATTGCTGTAATGTTTTTTTAATATAAAACTAATGTACTATAAGGGTATCAGAAAAAATTTTCTGGGTAAAAGAATTCAGTGGATCAGTTTATATTTTTATCCGTAAGAGATACCTAAATAAGAAGAACTTTTTACTCGTATAACATCTTAAAGTTTTTTTGTTAAATCAAAATTATTTTCTACATTTAATGGAAAAAAACGTATAATATAACAGTTATGATGCTTTCATGCATTTTTTAAGCTTAAGTAGTCGAAATTGTGTAATTATAAACAAAAGAAGATTATAATTAAAAAAAGAGACAAACTAGTGTATGAAGTAAGGACTTATCAGTGGTGGTCAAACGGAGAGGGGGGATGATAGATCCCGCCATGACCTTTTTTTTAAATATTTATATTTCATCCGTATTATACATAATATAATATAGGTTTCATCTATTTTCTATTTAAAAAAATAAATATACTATACTTATTAGTTATTATACAGTCTCTAGGCTGGAATAAAATTAACAGTTCAAACATTAAACACTAAAATATTAATTGAAACAAACTTTTCAGGTTTTTTTCATTTCTTTTATAGTTAAATTATAAGAATGTATGAAATTTAAATTTAGTACTTAATGCTTAACCTAATATATTATACTATTATATGAATTGTGTAATTATATTATTTTAGAGTCGTCTCAATGGTTTAGCCACTATGGCTGTTCATCGTAGGGTTGTCAATACAACTGCAGACGAAGTACTGAACGAATTGGCAAAAAAAAATCAAAAAAATAGATTTAATAATATAAATATCATTAATAATAATTAATAATATCATTAATATAATATAATTTTCAAGTTTTAAAATAAAGATTTTTATACATAGTGTTAGTTAAAAAAATCAGTTACATCCCCCCCCATGACAAAATCATTTGACCGCTATTGGGACTTAGAGCAGTAGTTTGTTAAAAATGTGATAACATTTTATCATTTTAAGACTAAAATTGTAGGTAATACAATTTATTATATTTGAAGAAAAATAAATTAAAATATAAATAATTAGAAGTTCAAGAAATATTTACAAAATTGAAATAATTATACGTTAAGTTTTTATTCAGAATTAAAATATATATATACATATATACTGATAATACATTGATTTTTTCTTGTGATATTTTATTATTCTTTATTTAATTGGGATTGGATAACCTTTAATTATTAAAATTATGTTGTGAATGATCAATCAGCGAGCAGTAATCGAAACAAAATAATGTTAACTAGAGTCCGGATTTTAATCTCTCAAACAACATAGACGAAGTCTCTAAAATATTACCATAAGTACCCTAAAAAATAACCCATACAACTATTTTTATTAAATTTATTGTATTTTTAAGTAGCTAATTTAAAATTTACAAAAAAAAATTGAAATTTGAAAAAATTGACTTGATGTTAATTAAAATATATACACATCAAGAAAATAAATAAATAAATTAAATTTAGATAATATTAAAAATTAATTACTCTAGGTATCATTTCACGGTAGGTAGCATACTACAAAGTAGCGGTAGGTAGCGTATTAGACAAGTACTAAAAAGTTTTTTTTGAATAAAGTACACCAAACAACTATCAATTGTAAACATCCGTAATAACCCTGAAGTACTTATATAACACTGTGCAACAGGAGCGTACCTAGAAATTTTTTATGGAGGGGTCCATCATTTTTATTTTATTTGTTCTCTAATTATAATTATAGTTTAACTCAATACCAACAAATTACTGTTACCTAATATATAACAGTATGGTTTATACATGATGAGTATATTATATAATCTATTAAACTTTGTATATTGAGATAATGGGAAATTAAAATACACTACATACTATTATTATACTATTTACTATTAAATCGTTGAGTATGTAGAAATTTCAATGAGGGGGGTGGTCCGGACCCGACCTTAGATAAGTTCTTGTTGTGCAACATATTATTCAAAACAAACTTTAATTTTTAGAATAATCGATCTAACTTATTCGTAAATACAGTTGTTTTAACAAATATACTTTAAATTTATTCAATATTTATACTTAGCCGTTAGCTTGCTAAACTAATGAAAATTATATGCAAATATTAATAAATATTGACAATTTGATTGTTTTTAGATATTTATTAAATATACCTACAATTATTAAATAATATTATTTTTGAACAAAAAACTTGAGCTATTCAGTTTTCTTTATATGAATAATTAACAAATTGTATACGTACGAAAAGGTTTGTAGATAATTTAATACAAAAATTTAATATTAATCAAAATTAAAATTGACAGTTTAATAAACATAGTAAGTATTCAATATTTTGTGTTGCATAAAGTTAGATATGTTTCAAGAAAATAAAATGCACATAATTATTGCAGGATAATTAAAATATAAGAAAAACAACTTAATATTTATTTTATACTAAGTAAACTGTTACCAAAAGGGATCAAGTTTGAATATGTCTCGGCAGTGGTATCGAATCCTATGCTTAAGTCAGGTCTCGGCGTGACCACATTTTTAAAATTAGACGGGGAATCAGAGAGGCCGATCTATGGTTTGTACTTAACAATATTCTGATCAGGGCTTATTTTAACGTGCATTTAAACACATTTTGCGTAACTCTAAATGAAAAATGCGCAGTTGTAAATAATTTATAAATAAAATTTCTCACAATAATAAATTGTAGTTATCGACTTCATGGCCGAGTGCAGGTAGAGGGTCCGCCTATCATCAGATTAAGCTTAAGCACGACTGTGTTATTATTATTTTATTATCACAATATTATTGCACGACCGCAGCGGGGCTTACAATCCTACACAGGGAGTACATTTTTAAGAGTATGGGGTGGGGGTTGAGTTTTAAGTTTTGTGTAATTCTAAAAAAACCTTAAAATAAGCCCTGATTTTGACCTCGCTGTTATTCTCGAGAGGAATGCGAGACGGATACCGTCGGATCGGTATGCGAATGAACGGAACGGAAATTTTTAAATGTGAATTACTTAAATTAAAACACATAATAAAATATTTTGCGGAACCGTACGGTGTCTGCCAATACGTGTCTGATTAATATGTATCATACTTAATTACTTGCTTGATACTTGTAATTTGAGAACACAAATAATTTTTCTATGCAAAGTAAAAATGTAGGCTTGTAGCCGCTGGGGTGGTCGAGTCTGTTATATTTTTATTTGGCCTAAAAAAAAATTTAAGAGTTCGGCGCTACTGTGTCTACTGTGACCGGTTAATAAGCATAATTGTATGCATGATATCACAGAATAACATTTTTTGATGATATTGTAGGCACGATTTAAGATATCTTTAATCGTGATTGTAGGAAATATACCATACATATGATCACAACATTTATCCCTTTATCAGTAAAATGCCAACTATCATTTTTTTATTTTTTTAAATTATGTATATTTTAAAATATTGGGCTTAACATTTTAATTAATTAGTTGTTAATTCTATCTAGTCTAGAAGTTTAATATTTATATATATGTAATTTCCATTGTTAATTGTTATTTTGTTTTGTTATTGTTGTTTTATACTATTTTATTTAATAGTTTTTAATAAGTTCTATATTTACAATTTAATCAATGGTATGAAAATTACCTCAATTGAAGAATAAAGAATAATACATTTTTTTTAATTATTGTTTTCTCCTGTTTTGTTTATAAAAAAAAACTATTCATATAATTTTATTTTTTTTGTTTTATTTGTTTTATCTATAAAACATAATAATTTTTGTTCAACTATGAACTACTTAAATTAACATAAAATAACTTTAATAAATACAATGCAACAAAATAATTTTTCCAATCAAATGAATCAAAGTTGTCCACCACGTTTTCAACATTCAACAACACCAACTATTGTTGACCGCATTGTTTTTCCCCAAATGATTAATGATGTCAGGTAATAATTAATTTTTAAATACCTACAAATGTCTGTTTTTGCACTTAATTTACAAATTAAATATTTGAACTATTTATTCTAGGTATCAATCAAGTAACATATTTGATCCTAGACATTTAGATCTACAAAACGCATTGAAATTAGACTCCCATTTTAATGGTAATGTAGATTTTTTTAAACATCATGACAAGAATGAGTTTTATGACAACTATAGATATGTGGAAACACAAATACCATTGAAACCAAATTCTTATAAAAATTCTGGTCGCTCACAGGTTATTGAAGTCAAAAATAAAATATCAGTCGATGTTTCTACTATGACTGACCCTCTTACAATAGAAGAACAAGAAAGGCTTGGCCAGTGGGAGGGCTTTGCTGCTGTTCAATCTGGCAACAAAGTTGCTGAATACCTAACTAGCCTGAGAGAATTTCTTAAGGTAGTATAAAATATATATTTAGAATTATTGTGGTTATTGTTGGGTGGTCGAAACACTAATTATAACTTTTTGATTTTATAGCTGTCTCCTCCACAAAAAGGAAAGAGAAGACAAGGATTAGGTGATGTTCGAATAGTTACATCTCCTGATGGTTCTAGGTTATATTGCTGTTCTGAATGTTTAATGGCATACACTGATAAAACTGTTTTGGAACATCACCTAGCCAATCATAAGGTAAAAACTTGAGTATTTACATACTATTTTATTGTGTTTTAATAAATATTTAAAGTTTAGGTAGAACGTAGATTTATATGTATGGAATGTGGTGCTGGTTTAAAACGAAAAGAGCACTTAGATAGACATCAATTAAGTCATAGCGATCATAGACCATATACATGTGCTGCATGTCCCAAAACTTTTAAGCGTAATGAACATTTGGCTCGACATTATATTGTGCATTCAGGAGAAAAAACACATGTTTGTGTAGAGTGTGGAAAAGCATTTTATCGTCGTGATCATTTACAAAAACATGTTCAGGGTCATATTACCAAAAGACTCAAAGCAGTAATCAAAGCTGCTGTTTAATCAAAACAATATTCAGTTTAAGCTCATGTAATTATAGTGCCTTGTTTATAAATCTAATCTTTATTTTTTCAAACATTACTCAGAAAATATGTTAGTGAAACATTTAAATTCAGTTAACAAATAGTTTTATTTTATAATCAATGAGTTGTTTAATTTATAGTTTAAAATAAAAAATCTCTTCTTGGTATAAATAATTATTATTTACAGTTATTAACATATCGATAGTCAAAAGGCCAAGTATCGTAACCCACAAAAACATAATTTTACAATAGACACTTTAAATGTTTTATTTTCCTACATAATCATTTTTTACCGTACTAAATAATTATTTATTTTTTCTGTGATACCTGAGAATCAGTTTTTTTAAGAATTGAAAGTTTATAGTACTTATTTGTATAGTTAATTTAGTTTTATTTATGACCTAGTCAAGGGTTACAGCGTTTGACTACATAATATTTATGATTGCTTTATTAATAGTATAGCTTTGCATTAGGGTTACTGCATTTGACATTGCTACATTTTGGTTACAGTACGTAATAGTTATTTAAATTTAGATCAAATCTTATTGTTTCGTAAAAATGTTTGCGATATATATTTTTAAAATAATAAACTAGTGGATAAAGTAAATTAAAATGTAATAATAATATTATTTTAATACGGCTATTCAATATGCAAAATCATCAACTAAAGAATAAAACTAATCCCGAAAAGCTTGCAAACATTGATAACTTCATTTAAAATTTGCCACTAATTTTTTAATTGTCACACTACTGCAGAGCCAATAAAACTGCCCGTAAATATTTGTTACCAGAAATGAAAAATCTTACGTAAAAATTAAGTTTTTATTAATATTATAATTTATAATATTACATATTTGTGTTTAATTATTCAATAATTTCATAATAACAATATGTTATTGGTGTACCTATTTCATATACGAACAAATTTTGAATATTAATTGATTAACATTTTAGGTTTCAGCATGTGGGTTACAATGTAGCATAATGAAGAAAAAAGTCTCAAGGCTTACGTTTTCTTATTATAACATTTTTATGTGGCTTACAGCATTAGTCACTATTTACTATATTTTACAAATTTTTTACAAGGTTAAAATAAATGATAAATATTAAAATTATAGTAGTTAAATAATATGGTGGGTTACGACCATTGGTTAATCACAAGAAAATTATATGAAGTTTAATAGTTCATGATAATCCCATTTTCGACCAATGTAAGGATTACGACAATTGGCTTTTGACCATTGATATGTTTACTTCAGAAAAAATTTAAATGTATAACTATTTATAAAATATGATCTACTTAAAATACTTTACTATAATAGGAATATATTATATTCCTAGAAAAAATAAAGAAAATATTTATAATTCAAAATCATTGAAGTGATACTTGAAATTATTGATAAATATTTTTACTGTTTTAAATATTATGCAATTTTAATGATATATCTGAGAAAAATTGTCTATTAGTATGTGATTATTAATTCCATTTACAAAGTAAAAGAGTCTGTTAAAATAAGAGATAAGTCAAGTTTTCATTAAGATTAGAATAATTTCCTAGTTTGTTATAAAAGTTATTTTAGATTGTATAGTCATTATTTTAAATTTTATACCTACTATTTTAATGTTCCTAATTGTTATTTATTAATTTGTTTTTGTTTGATTTAAAATAAGTGCTATCCTCAAATCAAAAAGTATAGTGTAGAAGGTTAAATACATTTGTTGAAGTTTAGTAATGTTATGTTTAGTATTTATATAATTGAAATGTAGTTTTATTAGTTGAGCTGTTCTGTGCTTCCATATTTTAGCCATGTCTCAAAACAAGTTTACATGACATAATGAAACATCTAACCTACTATACATTAACTACACTTGTTATTAATTTGATTTTAAAGAAATAATTGTGTAATTGTTTTAAGATAAAATCATTTATTTGGTCATTTTTAATTTTGAATAACTAATTTAATATTTTAAGCTGGAGTTTCGGTATATAGTTTAATATTTGTTAAAATGAATAACCTTATGAAAATAGGATAATCAATTCATTTCAATTGAAGCCTTAATTACTATTTAGTTTTGTTATGTCAAAATATATAACAGTATTAAATAAGTATTTATAATTATAACATTTTTTATGAAATCAAATTTATTTAATAATTATGTAATAATATATTAGTTACCATATTATATATAGTTACTTTTAGTAAAACTATTGAGTAATTTTATTATATTGTATTATTTATTGTATAAATGTATTGAGTTAATGAATAAAAAAAAAAAAAAATGTTATTATTTGGTTAAATTATTATGTAGTAAAGTTCACCTTTAGACTTGTGTACACAGTAGTAATATTAGTTGTATATCTTGCACTCGTAAGGTATTATTATAGTATACCATCTACCAATGGTGTCTTTTCAAATTTTTTATGGAGAGGTTTAATGGTTTTTTAAAAAAAAAAGTGATTATATAATAAAATAAAGAGTTATTTACAACCACAGGATATAAATTAATATTTTTTCTCTGAACCTTTGTAGTAAGTCATTAATTACTTTGCACCCTTTTATTCTACTGTGAGGGTGGGTAGAACAGAACTTCTACAAAAATATGCTACTGCGATTTACTATATAGCACAACTATTATGTTATTGCATTATGTATTCCAATAAATTATAAAAGATAAAAAAGAAACAAATTCACAATGAGTATATTACAAGGTTTTTAATCAACCAAATTGTTTTTATGATTTTTTTAATAATAAATTGTATACAGAATTTCTTCTAAAATTATCTTTGATTTTTTTTGCTGATAACTTGTTACTATTTTCTACAGGTTTTCTTTGGTAAGCATTATCTTCTAAAATTTTTCTTCTTGGTATATGTCTTAAAGCATTAATCCAATTATTATCTATTTTTAAATCTGCCATAATCATAATCATCTAGAAAAAATAAAAAATATTTAATAAACAAAATAAAAATTATTTATGGCTGTTAATAATGTAGAACACTTAAGTACATATCAAGTATAAAAATATGTGTTAAAGAAAAATCATTAATACAACAAACATAATATAATAATCAAATACATTTCAAAGGTTAGGTTTTGATATAGTATATTTTCACTCAAAATAAAATCAATTGATTATAAAACAAGTCTAATATAAATGTAATTGATTAAACTATTTCAAAATGTTCTTCATATATTTAAAAATATAATTTTCAAAGTATAGTGAAAGTTGTGGACAAATAAGTCTTAATATCAGATACATCATTGTTTAATACAGGCTCTCTGGCAAAAACAAATAACAATTTAAAATGGTGCAATAATTTATGTAAATAGTATGGTACAATATGTATTAAAACAAAAAATTGTACTACTTAAATGAAATAATGTAAACAATTAAAAAAAAAATTGGGATTATTTGAGTAGATATAATTTATAAAACCAAAAAAAATGTTTCAATAAAGTTTCAAATAAAATAAAATAAAGTAAAAAATTACAAATATTTTTTATAATTTATTATACACTATATTAAAGAAGCCAATTAAATTGACCTACTTGATTAATTGTTAAATTTTTAGTCCCTTGTTTCCAATCCAAATATATATCGAGGGGCAACTTTGCCATTCTTATCTTCTCTCTTTTAGCTTTGGCTAATGATAATGGTTCAACTTTCATTTTATCAACCATTGCACCTTAAGACATAAATACAATTTATATAATGTAATTAAATTTACCTGATAATATTATTCAACTGAAATAAATTTTACCAATAATATAAACATCATCATGGTTGTATTCTTTAAGCAGTTCGTTACAATGTGGAGTCAAGTAAACAAGCTTTTCTTTTGGATAGAGTTCTAAGTAACTTTTTTCAGTATAATTAAGTGGAAATGTTGGTTCATCAATAGTTGGTATTGTTTTGGCTAATCTTTTGAATGTTGTACCTTCTCTATTAACATTACAAAATACAACATTAAAAGGGTCCTTATGGAAACGATTATAAGACCACATTAACAATAACTGTTTTGCACAATTAGTTTGTTCTTTTAAAGACATGTGCCCATCATAACTGCAGTCAATAATAATGTCTTGCCCATACAACATAGCTTCGCATAAGCGATAATTATAAAGAGAATTCATTTGTTTTTCATAAATTCTGTGAAACATACTATTTCTCAGTAATCCGTATTCAATGTGATCATTCACAGGTAGATTTTCATATCGTTCTAAGCGTTTAGCTCGTTCTTCTAGTTTGCGAACATAGCGATTTTCTTTTTTTTTTTCGATTAAAAATAAATACCTCAGATGTTTCATACGTGATGATCGAGTGTTTAACTGTAATAAATTTTTCCATTGATCTACTTTAAGATTACTTGGTATTTGTTCACCGCTCTCATAAAGTAAATCAATTTCAAGTATTAATCGCTTTAATTTAGTTAGTGTTTCTTCATCACTTCCAGCAATAGATTCATAATCAATATTTTCAAAAATTTTAGTAGGACTTGATTCGTGATTTAAAGTATCTGAAGATCTCTCAGATTGAACACAGTAATAACGACTAAAAATAAGAATTTGTGAATTCAATTTTAATGAATTCGAGTTTTGATATATTTCAGTCGATCTTTTAGAACAGAATCCTAACTGACTAACTATTTTGTGTGCACGTAGAGCACATCTAGATAAAAACATTTTGAAATTTTTAATAGTTAATGAGAATACATTTATTAATAATAATGAAGATGAAATAAAGTATTAATTTAGAGACTTAAATTTAAATAAAATTCGAAATATTGTAACCTCGAAAACGAACGAAAACTACCAATAGAGCTTTGTTGGATGATAAAAAATAGTTTGTGTTATTCTGTGGTATTATCATAGATGGCTTATTATCTGAAGATAAGATGATAGAACAATATCTCCACAAAAATAATCACGTTTAAATAATTTTATGGGGATGATTCGTGATAATAAATTAAAAATTAATTTAACTCAATGCCTGACTTGCCAATTTCTATTGGTTATTAATTTAACGTTTCATTAATTTAATTTATATCTTATAATTTTTGTACTCTTTGATTTTTGATCTCATACAATCAATAAGATAGCAAATCGTTGTTAAAAAAATTAATCAAATAATAAGTATAATGTCCGAAATTCATGACCCAGACTTGCAAGCAAAATCTAGACGTGGTACGTTTACTATGAAAGAGAAATAATTTTTTACAATTAGGAAAATACTTATTGTTTTTTGTTTTAATTATAATACTACTAGCTACTGGAATATTATCAGAAAATCTTCATTTTGTTGCCAATGAACCATCTCTTGCATTCTATCGACTACAAGAACATGTAAGAAAATCTGTACCACCTATGATAGAAAAACGAGTTCAAGTTCAAAAACTTCATAAAGATTTACAAGGTCATAACTATGATGTAGAATATGCAATAGGGTATTAATAATTTTTTTTATAAAGTATTAATATAATTTTAAACCTTAATATTTAATCATTGTAAAATAGGGCTGTTCATTCAATTGAAAATTGTGAAGAACCATTAAATAATATTCAAGAACTACTTAAAAATGCTTTATTTCTTAGTCAACAAATTAAATATGAGCACACTAGACGGTAATTTATGTTACTGTACAATTAATGTGCATTTTAAAATGTATGTAGTTCTTTAAAAATTAAATGCTTGCACTTATTGAAACTTGTTTTAAGTTAAGTATACTTGTGGTTTAGATATTTTTATATATTTTTCAAAAATTAAGGTACTTAAAAGTTACAGGGGGGTGACTAATTTATTTTTGCACTTAGTACAGGATTAAAAAATTTAAGCTTTTAAATGGATTTAATTTCTGTCTATGGAATTTATTTTGAATAATTAACATTTTTTAAACCTAATTCATAGAATTTTTTTAATTTTTCAGACAGCACACAGATAGGAAACTATTTGGAAATAATACAGTTATAAAATATTTACTAAGGAAACCTTACATTTTTATTTTACTAGACTATCAGTCGGAATTTATTTCAGACACTTTATTTTTTCTATTCGACTAATATTTTATTTGATATTTATAATGATTGAACATTCTGATTCTAGATCAATTTATATTTACTATTTTTCTATCTTAATAGCTTGAACCTACGCTTTAGTATTGCCCATAGAAATGTTTATCATATATTATTACTGTTTGAAATACTTTATTACAAATTTTAATAGGTACTTTTTTTAAAATAATTATTTTTGCATGGCAAAATGTGCTCGTTTATATTTAAATTTTATTTTGTGTATTTCAATTTGTGGTATTCTATGTATTCTAAATTATGTAGATCAAAAACTTCTCAAACAAACAGTGATGCATCATTCAACTTTATTAAAAATGTACCAGTATGATTGCTTTTGTAGTATGCGCTTACAGTAGATTTTTCTGGTAAGAAATTTGTAGTTAAATGTTATTATTTAATTATGAGCTAATTGTTGAAACTTATACAATTTTTAATTTTTACATTGTAAAATTATTATTGTTGTTTTAGTGGAAGATCAAAAAAAGATTCAATGTATAAACGTCTATCTGCTCATTTAACTACCACTTTAGATCTACCTGAATTGCCAGAAGCTATCAGAGATACAGCTAATAAAGTGGAGTCCATGGTGAACAGTGCACGGCATTCTAATATATATTAATACATTTATAAGAGCCAGATTAATTTAACATTTTTCAATGGAATGCAAATTAAACCTATAATTTATATTTAACAGATAAATATTGATAAATAATAAAATGTTGATTTATAGCATTAAGGAAAATGGGATATTAATGTATACTGTTACTTTTTATAATTAATGTTTCTAAATAAGAGGAGTATTGTGTTGTTTCTACTATTCAAATGCCTTTATAGTCTTATTTAAAAACAAATATTCATACGTGAATATCAGAAAAAAAGTTTGATTTTTTTTTTTTTTTATCCAATTGTATGTTCTAATGCAGTGGTTCTCAACTGGTGTGCCGCGAAAAATGTCTGATATAAAAATATTGAATGTTTACAAAAAAATTCAGAATGTTTCTTTACAATTAATTTATCTGTACAGATAAATCATACATGTGTAGATTAAAATTATTTAGTTTTAGAACTGTACAGTTTTTCGGAAATAAATTGAAAATACCGATTGATAAAACTGGATATCTTAGCGTGTAGCCAGTTTTTAGTGTCAAGTACATGAGTGTGCCGCTAAAACTTGTGATGTATTATAGTGTTCCATGAACAAAAAAAGGTTGAGAACCACTGTTTTAATGTATTAAAAAAATACATTAATTAATTATAATGTTACTATATCAATAAAATGGCTATATACTATTTGTGTGGTAAAGATAATAGATAATTATAATTTAAAACAAATAATTTGAATTATTCTTGGAATATAACAGTAAAATTAACAGATTATAGTTGTTACTATTACTTTATAGATTTGATTTATATTTTTTAAAGTGGTGAATTCCTAATAATTATACTAAACAGTAGAAAATAACAATATAATTGTTATTTTTAGTTTCTGTAATATCAGAAGTATTCTCTGGATTTTCTCAGAATGTGGGATGAAACTGTTGTTTATAGATTAAGAAGATATAAGATATGTAAAATTTTTTTTTTTTAAAAATATCTAAAATAATAGTAAAAAATAGCCACAAGTAGGTATTAACATTGATAATAGAATAGATTATATTCTATAATCAATGGTAGAACTAAAACAATCAACATCAACCAATCTAAAAACAAATATAAAACATCTGAATAATTTTGCAATTTAATCAGTCATGAAAATCCAAAGAAAGCCTATTTATACTATTTACTCATACTAACAAATTAATCACAATACTGAATTTATTCTATTATAATAATACTTAATTGAAAGTTGTAAATTTATTATAAAACATTTTATTATGTTACATAGATATCCATATCAATTTTTAATATGTCGAATAAATTATTGAATACAAATTTCTATATGAATAGCACACACATATATTTAATTAAACTATATAAATGTAAAAAAAAAAAATACAAAAAAATGTAGTCTTTAAATTTTATCACTGTATTCTAGAATAGATAAATTATATAAATATAAACATAATATTTAGTAAATTATTAACAAAATAAAACCCAATACTTATTTAATGTTTCTTCTTTTTATTCTGTACAATTGGTTGTTTCAGTAATGAACTGGAATTGTATGTTTTTTGAGAAATATTATAAATATTGTAAAGAGCAAATATAGAGAAAATCAATCTGTAAATGCATTAAAATTAGTTATTAATTATTTATTATTATAATATGGAAATATATATAAAGTTATACATAATAGAGTATGGTAATATAATAGACTGTGTTTTTGAGATTTTTTTTTATTATTATTATAACAATATTTCCAATTTTATATCCTAAAAAATAATTATTTTTGAAAATAAAATAAAATTTTTTACTTTTGGTAGTATAATAAATTATAGTTTAAATGAGCATATTTTAGAATGTCTTAGGGTGGATACCATAAAAAACATTTTTTACTTTACATATCTAATTAAAATGTTCAGGAAATTATTTTGCTTCAGAGTATGAAATAACAAATATAATATGCAGCTTTTATTAATAGTAAAAATTAAATGATCAAAATAATAAACATATTATTTTTTTTATTTTGTAAAAATGTGTAATTGATACTTATAAATTATAACTAAGGAACGGATTTTATTGTAATAAAAAAAAATCAATATATGTACCAATTTTTCTTAAAATATGGAATAAAAAATCCAAAATAGGTAAATATCGAAAAAATAAAATATTATTAAAAATCACAAAAAAAATAGATTTTAAAAATGTATTAGTATTATATACATAAATATTAAGTAAAAATAAAACAAATGGTGTAGACATATAAAACAAGTATTATTCTGGGACAAAGCAATGAGCAACAACATAATTCTGAAGGTTTGCAAATAAAAAAAATTGTGACTGTTTGTTAAGACGAAGAATATTCTTGTACTAACTAAAAGACTGTTCCATATCAACTGATGTGATATGGTTAGGTTAGATTAGGTTAGGTGTCCAGGGATCCTTGTTGATTTTTTCCTATTAAAATATCTCTGATGATCATGCTGGAAATAAGTATATTAATGCCATTTAGATAACATACAATATTTGGAGGTCGTCAAAAATTGTTCACAAATCTTATAATATTTATCGTCATTAAAAATCAAAAAAAAATTATGTATTGATACCAAAATATGTAAAATAAATTTGAGTTTATTTCAATTAGAATGATCTAAATCGTACACATTTTTTATCAGATTTAAAATATCTCATTTCAATAAAAATATGTGTTTACAATAAAATCTGTTCTCTAGTTATAACTATGAACTTTGTATTAAAATTATTTTTTTAAAATATACATTAATTGATCTTGAAAATAAATATTTTCTAATAAAATAATAAACCCAATAACTGAATAGACACTCAATTATATATATTCAATTACACAATAAATTAGGTATATGAACTATATTTACCCAGTTGTAGCGCATACTCTATGGATTGAAACACATGTGAAGAAAGTGAACAATAATGATAAAAGAACTGAAAAAAATTGATTATTTTTAATAACAACACATTATATGAAATACTAACTACAAATTATGTTATGAAAAAAAAATTAATATTGGTTATTATTTAATTCAAAGTATTAAAAGTAGATGAAAATAGTTGTGTAAATTAAATTTAAATTTAATTGAATGTAATAACATTTTATAATAAATAATTTAATTAATTTACTATACTTACTTTCTGGAAATAAACTAGCTTGATATCCTTCTCCTAAAAGTAGGGTCATTAAATTACTTACAGCCTGGTAATTATTTAGTTAAGGTAAAACAAAACACATAATTGTACCTGCTAAGTTAGATGAGTTAATTTATGTTTATTTAAAAATCTTTTGGGTCATAATCTTTAATAGCATTATGAATATTATTTTCTGTTACCTCCTTGAGTGCAAGTATTTATATATATTATTTTGTACATTATTTCAAGTAAATGTGTTTAGAAATTTTAATCAAGAACTTTATTCATGGCTTTTTATAATTAATTTTATTTATATAATTAAGGCCAATTGGCAATTTATAGATACATTATAATACATAGTAAATTAACAAGTAATTATTGTGTTAGGAAGATTACAATAGAAAAACTAAAAACTAAACATTTAGTAAAGATAAATAGTTATGATTAGAGTTCGGATGTTAATGACCAAAATTTCATAAAAATATGCATTATAAAATATGTAAATCTGTATGATATACTATTATATGCCATAAAATGTATTAAATATACCTATTTTTTTAACAAATATATGCAAAAAAAAAATAGTTAATATTAATTAAAAAAATGTGTATACTCTTTTGAATGTGTATTTAAAATACTTTATTACAAAAAACACAGCTTATAAATATGAAAAAAACCTATTAATTAGTTTCTGATCTATTAAAGTTAAATTTTACATAGGTTAAGTACTTTAAGTATTAGGATTACACTGTACAATAATAATTTTGCTGATATTTTCAAACTTGAAGAAACTTTAATGATCCGACAAGAAGTTTTTGTAGACTGAAAATAACATAATTAACAGTAATGATTGATAATTTATAATAATATGGACAATTTTTAATATTATACTCATAATTTATAAAATATATAATATTTAATCTAAAAAAAAATCGATGTATACATTTATATGCTCAAAAATGTTAAATATGCAAAATAAGTTTGCATATTTGCAATCAAGATTTTATGAATCAAATTTATATCATATTAGGGTATAAATCTATTTCTGTAAAAAAAATATGTCAAGTTATAAACATCCGAGCTCTAGTTATGATATACTAATCAGCTCAGATCTAGGAGGTGTTAAATAGACGAAGCATTCTATCTAGTGAATTGTTGTGGAAATAATTAGTACAGTGGGCGGAGACATAGATTAGTGATTTCTAGTAGAATTAACAGGATCACAAAAAGAGATAGAAGGTTTGAAGCATCTACTAAACCATGAAGGAGAGATCAGCATCTCCATGGCAAGAATCAAGAGTAGTAATATATAAGGAAAATTGGTCAATTGTGGTCAATTTTGAGTAGAAAATCAGTGTGTAAGACAGGAAGCGGTTTTTAACTCACTCTAATCATGGTTGGTCTTTTACTAAGTGTGCCATACAACTGAGCCACACTCAAAATAAAGTGGACAAGAAATAAAGGGAGCGAAGACAAGTAGCAGACTTAAAAAAACTAGTGTTGCGTTTTAAAAATCCCAGAACTTTTAATGCTCTACCAACAGTAATATTCATAATTAATTATTTTGGTTCAGTTGGCTTTTATTTATTTTAACTTAGTAGGATAATTAATAGTATTATACTCGATGGGGTATTTTTTTTTAGGGGGGGGTATCATCATAATTTTGTTTTTTATAAATCAGTGTATAATTGTTAACTGTTTTATTATCTTCTTATTAAAAATTGAAAATTGTATAATTATATTATTAATTTCATTTTTGGATAAAAGATAAAAGAAATATAAAATAATATATATATATATATAAAATATGAGAATAACACAAGTAAAATTTGTCCATCAAGAATATCTAATCATTATTAGATTTTCAAGAAAAACGAGCGATAGAATAAGTAGTAGATATATGTAGTTATAATGATAAATCTACATCCAACTATTTCTATAATTAGTAGACCACAATTTTTTGCAAGCTACAGGCTACAGCAATAGGCATTAGTCTGTTAAGTGTATAATGTGTTTTGACTTGCATAGTTGAAAACACTAATATTATTATACTCGGGTTTTTTTTGTTTTTATAGCATATAGTTTTATAAATTAAATTTTTAAATTTTAAAATTTTTCCTTTATCCGAGTTTACAAAATTAACAAATTTATTGAAGTCTGGAAATTCTACAGGGGAAAACCCCCAGAACTTCCCCACCATGAATATGCCATTCATTATGCTAGTATAGAAATATTTAAGAATTAGAACACATTCATATCGATTACAACATAAATAAATACTACCCTATAATTCACTAACCAAATTAATTAATTTCTTTTTTAGTCAGATTTTTTTTTTCAAACACAAATGCTAAACTTTAAATAATTTTAATTTACGTCGTAAACACCAAATCTTTAAAAAATTAAAAAATCCTAATAATCCTAAAATCATTCAAGTATTGATTCAAGAAATACTGAATTTAGAAATAATGAATGTACATTTTGAAAAATATTAATAAAAATATGGTTAAAATTTTCAAATAGGATACAGTTAAGCATAACGTAAACAATACTGAACCAAGAAAACCAGTTCCGATAACTAAGGCAGAATTGGATGTCAACCATTTGCTGTTAAGCTGCATGACTGAAAATAATGACAATGCCAACAACGTAGATATAAGGAACGACATGCCCGTGGAAACGGCTGAAAAAAACAAAGTCATAATTTGGTATGATACATTAAAAACAGTTGATATACCATATGCATATATAATAATATTCTGTAACTCAAATTTACCCATGTTTCATGTATGTATTTCAGGCTATATGGTAAGTCTGGAGTTTAAACACAAATATTTAAAATTGATTACAAATTTTAAGTTAAAATTTAGTATTAAAATCTTATCACTCTAATGATGAAGTGTACTGTTTTAATTTGCCGGTAGTGAATCAGTCGTACTTGTGTCGTTGCAACACATGTCCAGAGTATTCTTATTATACAAACAAAAGGCTGATATTAAAAATTCCTTCTTTGGTAAAAGTATTGGTTGCACTGTGAAATTTCTTTTTTTTTTGTATCAAAAATATATGTTGACATAATTGCGTTATCAAATTGATTTCAGTCTATAAATTCCTGTAATTAATCTATTTATTCTTGTTAATGGTTCTTTTTAGTTATTATTATTACTTAATAGTTATCGCGTATTTTTTTTTTACTTTTTTTATCACAGTGTCACGGATTTGCTAAGTATTTTAAGTTCTTACCAAATCACATTGTTTCAAAATAGTATTTAATCCTACTCTAAGGTAACTTAAGACTATGTATTTAGTAATAGTCATTTAGGTTTAAAAACAAAATGTACATTAACCAACTATGGTGATTGAAAATATGAGTTACGATACAAAAACAGTGACTGGTGGTTCTGTTTGCAAAGCAGTCCTTCAGTATTGTGCTAATTCTCATCCATTTGAAGAACGTACCCTTTCTCTTGATCAACCTGTGAAAATTGGCCGTTTGCTAGCTAAAGCCTGGGTAAGTCCAAATAATGGAATCTTTGACTGCAAAGTTCTATCAAGGAACCACGCCCTGCTATGGCATGAAAATGGGAAATTTTTCTTACAAGATACAAAAAGTAGTAATGGTACATTTGTTAACAACCATCGACTCAGTAAAAGTGGTGAAGAGTCTCAACCTCAAGAAGTATTCAGTGGAGATATAGTTCAATTTGGTGTTGATGTAATCGAAAATTCTAAAAACATATCTCATGGCTGTATTACAGCAGTTCTAAAATTATATCATGCCGACGGAACAGAAGCTGAATCTAATCCTGTCGTGAATTTCATTAATGATGTATGTACTCAAGATTTATATAATATAGATGCTTATATTAGAGATGCTATACACAGAGAAGCAAATTTAGAAAACAAATTATTAAATTTAGAAAGACTATTATCAAACATAATTGGAGAAACTGATAATAGTTGGAAAGCTCTAATTACTGAAGATCGTTTACTATCCAAAATTGAATTTTTAGAAAGCCAATTGCAGTATTATAAAAAGGATTATGGAGAAGATGAAATAAAACAGGAAATATGTGATTTAAAGAAATACAAATATTCTTATCAAGGGTTGGCCAAGGATTGTTTAAAAAAAGAAATGGAAGAAAAATTAAAAATGATGCAAAGGTGTCAAGAATTAGAAAGTTTGTTAAAACATTCCACAGTTGAACAAAATGCGTTGATGAAACATCTCAATAATGCACAAGATGAAATCAAAGAAATGTGTACTAAGTTTAATACAGAGCTTGCTAATCATGAAAATAGTGTTAAAGAATTTGATGTATCAAAAGATTTATATGAAACCGAATTAAAAAAACTGAAAGAAGAAAAAAATGAACTAGAACTAAGTTTTCATAGTCGATGTGAGGAAGTAGAAAGATTACGAGCTGAAATAGCTAAAATGAATTATGAAATTAATACACGTAATGTACTTCTTTTAACTTTACAAAATGAACATGAGCTTACAGAAGATATTTCTCTTAACAAGTATTTTAATGATATAATGTCTTATATTATACATGTATTACAAGACCGTCAAACTTATCTAAATCAAATTAACTCGTTACAAAGTCAAATGCAAAAACATATTAAACAAAAAGCTGATATAGAAAATCAAGTATGTCAACTACAGACTGAACTTGATTTTAACCGAGAACTGTTAGTAAATTGTATTAAAAATAAAAATGTTAGTGATATAGATAACATGGATCCTGATCAGTTAAAGATGATAATACTAAATGAAGATGGATTGAAAAATATTGAAGACTTGTCAAAAGATCATGAGATTCAATCAGATTTTTATAAACAAAAATGTGATGATATTGAATTCAAGTTAACTGAAGCTAAAGATATACTGCTTGACTGTATAAATAATTTGGATGATCAAGAATCTACCATAAAACTTCTTAAAAAAGAGCTTTCATGTAAAGATATTGTGTTGTTGTTGATGTCTAACTATTTATGCCATTTATCAAATATTGATTCTAACAATATAAATGATGTGCCTGATATACTACAGAAAAATCTAAACTCTTTCAATGACTTAAAAAGTATTGATACTTCAATTGATCTAGAAGTTTTTAAAACAGAATTTTTAAATAATGTACCCCCAGTACAAGATAATTATATTATTCATGAAGTTTTACCAGATTCTCAAACTAATGGATATTCAGTCCGGGAAATCAGCTCTGAAACTATAGAAACTAAAGAAGATTCCGCCTTAGATCTAAAAGAATTAGAACAAATTCGTAATGAATATGATATGTGTTTCAAAGAAAAAAATGATCTGAAGTATGAATTAGAGCAAACTATGATAAGATGCAAAGAACTTGAACAAACTCCGAATTTCCATCTATTTTTTGCATTACCATCTATAGTATTATTTTTAGTATTAGTTATTCGATTTTATTCTTATTTGTCCTATTTAACTGGAACAACGGAATAAGTGCAATTAAACAAATTATTCATGTTTGTATTATTATTAGTAACAATACCAATATTGTTTTTATAAGCTCAGATATGTGATACATAACAATTTCATTTTATTCACCGGCTAATAACTAACTCTTGATTTTATTAATAAAGTCCAAAATTAAACAAGGTTAAATATTTGAATTTCAAATCATAATTTAAAAAATAAAAACAATTGCTTTACAAAATTTTGTCAGATCATTTAAGGTAAATAATTTATTTTTAATATTGTTCTAATTAATTCACCAGCTTTGTGTTTTATTGGCCATTCATAATAGTATATATATTTTTATTTTTTATATTTATCTTTAAAAACAAAATTACTTAGTGTTGATTCCATCCATAATAATAGAATAGATTAACTCTTCAAAATTGATTTAGGTATTATATTTAGTTGATACAAAATGAACCTAACCTGCTCATAGGTATTATTTAATATCTGTAATTGGTCTGAATATGTCACTACATTTTATTGTACTACATTAAATAATTTAATACAATATATCCTCATAACTTCTATATATAATAACATATTTTTATTATTCTGGATTATTTTATAAATGTCTTAAGTGTAATTTTAAATGTTTTTAAACATTGTCATAAGTCAATTCTGTTCTCAAAAATAAGTTTCTTTAAATACCAGGAATTATATTCAATTTTATCTTGATACTAAATTTATTTTGTATTGTACTAGATATATATTTATATGTATGTATAATGTGAGACAAATGTTTTTATAAGTTTTGTATTATATAATTAGTATTTTAAATGAAAATTGTAGTCATCGACTGAACCATCAGAACATGTTTAATACTGTAAAAATCAATATAGTTAATGTTGTATGTTATTGAATTATTTTAATTATAAACCATTGTAGTCATTAATTATTATTGTTGTCATTTTTAATCAAATAGTAAAAATATTAAATTATTATCAAAATCGTTTTTTTTTTATAATTGTTTATTTATTTTCTTAAATTTTCTAAGTCAACAATCATTTTTGAAATGGAATGTCCTTTCAATAGAAGGTAATAATTTAATAATTCAATCAATTGTCAGGCTATCAAACCAAGGATAACATACAACATTTTATGTGTGAAAAATCTGTATAATTTGGTGGAGGTGTTCTTTATTATTTATATGCAATTTCATCAGGTGTGGTTTGATACCCTGATGATTGTATATGAGAAAATTTGTTATTTTAATTTAAAACAAAAAGTATTTAAATATCAATCAACATTTTTATTTTTCAGTTGTTTATAATGGAATCATTGGAACAGTTATCTTGTGATAATTTAGAACTCGTGCATGTAAAAAGAGATTCTATTAGCAGTAATGTAATTAACATTAACAGAAACAAAATCGAAGCTATTCCTAAAACTAATCAAGTATAAATTCATAAAAAAAAAAATTTAAAAATTTTACACTTACCTATGTATGTATATTTTCTATAGCCAAGAGAATTACAAGATCTAACAGGTTTAACTGTATATGATGTAAAACATTTTGAGCAAGAAGTTTTACAACAAGTTACCAATGAAGTAGATAGTAAAATTATTAACAATATTCATGAGATTCCAATGACATTAAGAGTTCTAGGAACTAAAGAAACTGAGAATGAAAGAAAAATTAGAACAGGAGAAATGACACCATTTGGTTCTACAGATGTTTTCCAAATGAAAACTAAAAGGTATATTGATGCACAAAAATTATTATTTATATTTGTTTAATATAGTGATTTAAACATTGAATTTTAATATCCTTGGATTTTTTTATAACTTTCAGCTCTGAAGATATGTTGCAAAAGTATTTGTCATCTCAATCTAAACTTTCAGCCCTAGTACATAAACCAAAAAATAAAGTTTTAAATACAAAAGTGTTAAAATCTAATTTGAATAATAAAGAATCAATTGAAAAACCAACAAAATTATCTAACAAAGGATCTGGAAGTGAATATTTTCCATCAACAGATTCCGGTAAATCAAACTCAGCAAATTATTAATTATATATTATTGATTATAGATATTATTTATACTCAAGACTCCTACTTAATAATTAATATTATTTTTAATTTTAGAAAATGATTCAGATACTGGTAAAATCAAAAGTAAAAAAAAATCTAATTACTCTCACAGAAAACGAAAACTTTCCAATGATGATTATTCTAATGGCTCGGATGATGAGTATTTTGATATAAGAAATTGTTCAAGTGATTCTTTTTTCATCAAATTTTTAGTTAAATTAATTTTATCTTAAAAAAAATTACAAGTTTGGTATTAATATTTTTCTAAGGTCAATATAAAACCTTAGATGATGGTATAGAAGAAGATTATCAGTATCGTTTAAGAGAGTATGAAAAATGTAATCCTGAAATTGCAACTGATAATGAGGATGTATTTCATTGTATTGATGGAGACTATTTTAAAGTACCTAAAGAAATTTGGAATAGTTTATACAAGTAAAATTTTAAGTATACCTTCATTAAATATTTATAATGTATGTATACAATTTTACTATTTATAATAGGTACCAAAGAATTGGGATCAAATGGTTATGGGAGTTACATCAACAAGGCTCTGGTGGTATTTTAGGAGATGAAATGGGTTTGGGGAAAACTGTTCAGATGATAGTATTTCTTGGTGCACTTTATTGGAGTCGTTTAAAAGACAAAATTACTGGTATTCGTGGTTTAGGCCCTAGTTTAATTGTTTGTCCAGCCACATTAATGCATCAGTGGGTAGATGAATTTCATAAATGGTGTCCGCCTATACGAATTTGTGTTTTACATGATACTGGTGCTTATAAAGGTAGTTATTTTATTTAACTTTGGTAGAAATTAGATAAAAATGAACATAAAATAATTGATTTATTTGGTTTAAGGAAAATCATTTAATCTAATAAAAGAAGTATGGTCTTCCAAAGGAATTTTAATTACCACATACAACGGTTTGCTCCAACATATTGATAATTTGTTAAAATATGACTGGCATTATGTTATTTTAGATGAAGGTCATAAAATTAGAAATCCTGATTCCAAAGTAAGTTTATTGTGCTAAACATAGCATTCTAAAGTATTATTAAACTTGATTGAATTAAAGAACATTTAGATATAAATCAACTTTACAGATAACAGTAGCAGCGAAACAATTAAAATCTAGCCATAGAATAATTATATCTGGTTCACCAATCCAAAATCATTTAAAAGAATTATGGTCATTGTTTGATTTTATTTTTCCTAGTAAATTAGGAACTTTACCTGTATTTATTAAAAGTTTTGCTGTTCCAATCACTCAAGGAGGTTATGCTAATGCTACTGAATTACAAGTGAATTGATATAATTAGAAAAATTATACATGTTCTAATCAACTATTTAAATAATTTTATACTATAGATAACTACAGCTTATAAATGTGCAACAATACTTAAAGATACAATAACTCCATATTTATTAAGACGTATGAAAACTGATATACAGTCACATATATCTCTACCTGACAAAAATGAGCAAATACTTTTTTGTCGCTTAACTGATGAACAAAAGTCATTGTATCGAGGATTTCTTGAAAATTCAGGTATAATACCTGAAATTATGAATGGAAATTGTAAAGTATTTGTAGGCATAACTCGATTAAGAACTATCTGTAATCATCCTGATATTTTCCAGGAAAATCTTGTAAGATATGATTTAATGTATATTTTCATTTATAGTGTATAATAATTTTAATTCATATTTAGGAAACAGGTCCTTATGGTTATTGGAAAAAATCGGGTAAAATGATTGTTGTTGAAGCATTACTTAAAATGTGGAAAAAACAAGGTCATCGAGTACTACTATTTACTCAAAGTGTAAAGGTAAAATAAATGTAAAACACAAAACTGATTCATTAATGTATTTATTGTTGTTTGTTTTTAAAGATGCTAAATATTTTTCAAAAATTTGTAACTGAGCAAAATTACTCCTACTTGAAATTAGAAGGTGGTACATCCATTGGTTCTCGTCAACCTATTATAAACAAGTTTAATAAAGTAACTAGTTTTTTTAATATTTATTTTCTAAATCGTTTTAATGTAATTTATATTATATTTTTAGGACCAGTCAATTTTTGTAATGATTTTAACCACAAAGGTTGGTGGCTTAGGTGTTAACCTTATTGGAGCTGATCGTGTTATTATATTTGATCCTGATTGGAACCCAGCTACTGATTTACAAGCTAGAGAACGTGCATGGAGAATTGGACAGTCAAATCCAGTTACTATTTATAGATTACTTACTGCTGGAACTATAGAAGAAAAGGTATGTTAATTTGATAAAAATATTATTATTATTATTATTATTATAAGATTTTTTTATTTAAAGTTAATAATAAAAGGAACTGTATTTCAGATGTATCATCGACAAATATTCAAACAGTTTTTAAGTAATAAAGTATTAGTAGATCCTAAACAACGAAGGTTTTTCAAGTCGAATTATTTATATGAATTATTTACACTTCAAGATGTAGACAGTAATGGTTTGATTGAAACAACAGACTTATTTGCTGGAACAGGATCAGAAGTACATGTTATTATACATTTATATAATTCAATTTTATAGGTATGTTTTTTTTTTTTTTTTTACTAGATTAATGTACAAAAAATTATGGCAGCTCGACGTAAAAGGAAAAAATCTAAAAAAACATTAATAAATTGTTCATTTTCTGATGATAAAATTGAAGCAATGAAACAAAAAGCAAAAGAACTTAGCAAAATTATTGTCCAAAAATCAAAAACTGCTATGAATCAACAAAAAACGCAATTAAATTCATGTCCTATCAATGAAAATATTTCTAAAATTGATATTGTATCAGAACAAAATGATACTAAACCATTTCAAAATAATTATCCATGTTATGATAAAACAAATGATGAATTTATGAATATTCCATCTTGTAGTAGAAGTTCAACTGAAGTAACATTACCAGAAATAAATATATCTTCTGAAAAAGCAAATAATAAACATTTAAATTCCAAACATAAAAAACATAAAATTCCATATTTAGTTAAATGTGACATATATCAAGAGGAACATGTTGATGAGCTCACATCTAAAAAACAAGATGATTATGTTCTTGAAAAATTATTTAACAAATCAGGTATGTTTCATAAAAATATTATACTCAGTAAAGATTTGTTTAAAAATAATAATATAAAATTTATCTGTATGCTATAAGGTATAAATAATAATGTAATATATTAATATTGAAATTAATTTTAATGATATCCATTATTCTTAACTGATTGTTGAATAAAGGTGTAAAAGCAGCAATGAAACATGATAAAATAATGGAATCTTCAAAATCTGATTATGTTATTATTGAAAATGAAGCTAAAAAGTTAGCTAAAAAAGCAATTGAAGATCTTGAAGCTTCCCGTGCACAATGCTGGGAACCCGGATCTGGTAGATTAAATTGGACTGGTAACCAAGGAACAGTTAAACCTAAATTATTCCTCAATATGAAAACAAAGTAAGTAAATTACATTTTTATTAACATAAGCTTACTCAACTATAAAACAAACTTGTTACTCATGAAAATAAAATTTAATATGTAATTTTAGTATTGGTTCATTTTTTCCTCTAAGTTTTTCTTTTTTATTACTTAACTAAATGTACATCATAAGTTTTTATAATTTAATATCCTAAAATTTACTTACGTGTTGTGAATAAGGTAAAATAAAATAGGTTTTAATAATTTATGGTAATAGGTATAGAAAAAAAGTTGTAATTATTTTAAAATATACTAAGTACATTAAAAAAATATTTATAATGTATATATTTTGAGGTTTTTATTTAGTTATATGAATAATAGGCACTTATTTAAATGTAGAATAAAAAAATAAAAATGAATTAAATGTATTTTATAAATGTTTTATTTCATTAGAGATGAATCAAGTTCGTCAATATTGTCCTTAATGAAAAAACGTAATGGATTTGTGGAAGCAACAGAACGTGAAATGCAAATGTTAAACAGCATTAGACAATATATGATAGAGAACAATCAATGTGCCAATACTGATCAAATAGTTGAAAAATTCAAAAATAAATATTCATCCGATGATACTCCATTATTTAAATCATTGTTAAGCGAAGTTTGTACATTTAGTAGGTGTCCTGATAAAACTGGTGTTTGGAAATTGAAACAGAAATATTGTTGACTTATTAGAATAATAATATTAAAACAAATCATCTTATATCAAACAAATACTTTTCCTTGGTTTTTTCCTTTTTCCTATTTAATTTTTACAGTACATCTATTAGTATAATTATTTAATTAAAAATGTTATTAAATAATTTATGCAGCATTTGTACAAATTAATTCCATGTGCAACTGATATTATGTAATTATGTTTATCCACGATTTTAAATGTACCTTATAAAAATTTATAAGTAATTTTAAGTTCATTGTTATATTTTTATAATATATTTTATTAGTATTTAATGAAAAATAAAAAATATGATTCATCTTTGTGAGTTAATAAAAAAAAATATTAACTCACATGTAATAAAATAAAAGTCTTTTGTCTTATGATTTATTGATAATCATTTATAAAATAAAACAAATATATAATTTCTTAATTACAAATATTATTAAATGTGTTCTTTTACACTGTTAAATTATTTGAAACTGATGCAGATTCTTAATTTACATAATAACTTTTTTAACCAGCAATACTCATTGTTTTGGTAAACTAATGTGTTATTGTGTTATTAAAACAATTATCTTTTTAAGATTTGAGGTCCTACATTATGTAACCATTTAATTTTGATTTTGATGGTTCTTAAGAAAAAATAACAAATATCAATAAATGAAAAAAAGACCTCCAAAGTTCTAAAAACTAGGTCAGGTGAGACGGTCGGATGAGGTACCTACAGGGACAGCTGAATGATATTGCTGTTTGGCTCTTTTATACTAGAAACCTATGTACCATTGCTTTCGTGAAAACGATTTTGAATGAAAGATATAGAGTGAATTAGAGTTATATATTTTTCCGATTATTTTTTTATTACTTTTTGATATTTTTTTGCAATTATTAAGGAAACTATCGCTTATTTTATAAAATTACATTCTTGAATTACCAACATCATAACATTCTATATCAAATACCTCCTATAATTATCACGATCGGAACAATCATCATAGGCGAAATAAACATAGACAAATAAGAAAAAAAAAAGAAAAATTTGAGGATTTAATGTATTACAAAAATTACTTGATATAGGGTTTGAATTTCGATATCAGCCGAAAATTGTTTTAAACTATCCTCTGTTTTTCTTAATCATTCGGAAAACCACTGAGAAATCCAAAAAATAATCCTCTCCAAAGTACTAGATAATATCTGTATTATCGAAACTAATTGCTTAATTTTTTTTTTTTTTTTTTTGTGACGACCGGAGTATTCTTGGTCGAAATTGAGTAAGATGACATAAAAAAAAAAATTACATTTACACCATGGTAAAACCTATTCATTACTCGTTTCACCCAGACTTAAGATTATGCCACTAATCCACTACAATCAGTATAGATATTACAAAGTTATTAACAGTATTTTTTTAGTGCTTAGGTACCTGAAATAGTAGAAACTGAAAACAATATAATTATAGTACGGAATATAATATGTACATAGGCGTGCGCAGACCTGTATTTCAGGGGATGCCTACAATACTTTTGGGTCCTATCTTGATAAAACATGTAAGTATATTAAATAAATTATAATATATAAATAATTAAATAAACATAACTTTAATCATTTATTTAATATTGTGGTATATTAGTTCAAATGAATATGTTTTCCTTGAATCTCGTATGTTTTTATCATATAGCTTCAATTATTTATGATTTCTATTTTTGTAATCAACTGTAGCTGTTATATTATCGTAATAAGTTTTTGCACGAAAATTTGAAGAAATTTTTTTTATTTTTTCTATTACAAAACATATTTTATTTTTTACTAAATATTTTAGAATAAATTACATTTAATTTGTACATTTTATTTATACAATTTACATCAGTTTACAAAAAGGACTCTTTACTTTTTGACTTTAACTGTAAGATCAAATTTACAACATTACGGGAGATGATTGAGCAGAACTAACAATCCCGTGTGCATGTCTATGCTACTTAATCGTTCTAATATAAATTATAAGCTTAAAACTCATAAACTTTAGCCAATTTAAATATTTTGCTAGCAAAATTAATGTAATAAATGTTAAATATTTATTTATGTATTTTAATTTGAGTTTTCAGAAGAAAAATGTATACTCTAAATTTATTTTTTACATATTTGAGATATTTTTATTTCAATATTGACACTTTTCTTAATGTATAAATGTCATTAAATATTTGTGAAATTGTTTTCTGTTGCGCTTAATGTGTAATCACTATCAAATAAATTAATTAAATTAATAAATAAATTAATTAATTATTTAAACGTTTAGGAATCACTCGAACTGTAAAATCTATTTTACAGTGTTCATATTTGTATTCCAATACAAATATGAACACAAGCCATGTGGGTATAGCCTCTAGTGCCGCAATGAGGCTTTGGCGAGCCCTGATGCAAGAAAAAGTTATGGGTCCCATTAAAAAATGATGAATAAAATATTAATACAATTAATAATTCATCAGTACAGCGTAGAGACAACTTTAAAGAATAAAATACAAACAAAAACAAAATGTTGCAATCACTTATAAACAATAAATATAATTTTATAATAGAATATAAGTATTTAATACCAAGTGATACGTTGTTTATATTATATTGTATAACAAGATAAAATATCAATTTTAGTCACTTAATTTTTTTTTTTTGTACTTTTTGTTAATATAGCCAGTAATTATTTTTTCAAGATCCAGTAGTTTTGTTCTTGGTCTTTCAATATTCAATATCTATAACGGTTAATCTGTCTTGAGAAATTGAGTTTCGAAGATAGTTCTTCAGCAACTTCAATTTAGAGAAAGATCTTTCAGTCGTAGAAAAGGAAAAGGCACACTTTTAGTGGAAACGTGTTACGTTCAATTAAACTCACCTTCGGTTTCACCACTGACTCTGTGGTATACAGTGTTGTGCTTAGATAAAAAAAAATTATTCAGATATAGATAAGATGGATTTAAAATTGTCTAGATATAAATAGATAAAATCACTTTTATGTAGATATAAATAGATAAAATAATTTTTATCTAGATATTTATATAAAGCATCAACGTTTTCATCCGTTTGTAGGCGAACTTTTTTGGTCTTGGGTAATGATTGTATTATGCTGTGGCGTACATTCGATCATGCTCTGGGGGGGGGGGGGGTTTAACAAAAATAATCATTACTTTTTTTTTCGTTGCACAGATAAATAAGATAAATAACTACAATAAACAGATATTATTTTATACAACTTTTTTACCAATTTAAAGTTTACTTTTACATTATAGTAAATTAATAGCTATTGGAATATAAAAACAGCATAGTTAACAAAAATGTTCAAACACCTATCAATATAATTATTTAATTATCATAATATTTGTATAATTGTATATTTTAAATTCAAAGCGTAATAATGAAACTACGAATATATTACACGTCATCAATAATAAAACAATTTTCTTTATTTTTTTTTTTTGGCCCTGGGGGGGGTTTGAACCCGGATATTGCTATTTTCTTATCGACAATTATTTCTGTATTTTAGTATTTATAAACCATCTACCACTCAGCAGCAATAATAACCAGTTTAGACCTATGGTGCGTTATTTCTGGTTCTAATATTCTTATAAATGCTATTTCGGCGTTCGTAATATCACAGAACAATAGTAGTACGGGCACGATACTTCCCCGTATGGGCTATACTATGAAATTATAAATAATTCTCACCTCCCATGCATATTATGTAGGTAATATATGTCTATATACATAATAAATTGTTATTGTTCATAATTAATAATAAATGCTATGTAAAACTATTTTAGAACCAATTTTTGCAAGTAAATATACGAATGAAATTTCTTATTTAGTTATTTATTTTATATTGAATGATAAAATTGTAGATTAGTTATTATTAATGATTAGCAGGGCCGCACTCTATTTTGGCGGGCCCCGGACAAACTAAACCTTCTGGGCTCCCTATTTTTCAAAGGAGTTTTCTTGGTTTTCGTAGAGAACATTTTTCTAATTATATATAAAACTAATGATTAAATTATTTTAACATCAAATATTATTGTAACCCTGCTATTTTAATTAGTTTTATTTTTATCTAAACAATGTTGAATCTTTTTCAAAGAAAATTTAAATACTCAAATACATAAATGATAATATACAAAACGACATAATAATATTAATCATAATATTAATAACCATAACTTATATAATTAATAACCCTAAATTTAAAATAGTCCTAGGGTTTTTCTTGCGTTTCTCACTACGAAATCATCAATGACCCCATTCATGTCAATCGTCTTTGCCAGTTGAGCCTCCACTGCTAAAACACCTAAGTTTGAGAGTCTGTTGTGTCATTGTTAATTGTAATACTCTCTTCACTTTCTTCAATGTTGAGAAAGATCGTTCCATACTCGCAACAGTTGCAAGGATAAAGATTCGTAATGCAATACATAAATTAGGCAATATGTTTGAAATATAAGTTTTTTGCAAGTGATTCAGCAATTCTAAGGGACTTAGTTGTTTATGTCCAAAGTTAGTAGCATAAAATATGTTAAGACTTTGTAGCTCATCTACTAAGTTTTCTTGTAAATTATCATTATACTTCAAAACCAGATTTCTAGATTTTAATTTAATTTCTCCTTCTGTCATATATTTAAACTCCCAAAGAATTGAGAAAATATCAATAACTGTTTTCAGTGATTCAAATCGTTTGTTTATATCTGCAATTACTTCATCCAAAATGACATAAAATACATTTCTTGATAAGATTAAAGTAGAATATAAGTATTCGGTTGCTTTAAATGGTTTTCAAATAATTGAGTTGTTTTGAATGTTTTCGATGTATCAAATGATTTGCAATAATACACGGCTACACAGTATTAATATATGAATAAATATTCAAAAAAGTGGTAGTGCCCATTGGTCGATACCTAAGCTTCAGCAGGGGCCCGTTAAAATTTAAATTTTTTTGTAGGTCCAGGCCAGTCATAATTTAAAAGTTGTTTTTTTATAAACCCGGACCCCTCAAAAATAGGTTTAGGGTCGGGCTCCGGACAAATAACCCGAGAAAACCGGTCTGAGTACGGCCCTGATGATTAACTACAGATTTTGTGAATTATCTTGATA